CATTTAGTGAACTTACAGGGCAGGACTCTAGGTGAGATTGGGCAGCTCACCTATCAGCGGTGGCAGATTCTGGTCGCCTGGCTCCTTGGATGACCATTCCATGAGGGCAGGGCCAGAGTGTGGTCGCCTTACTCACCATCCTATTGCCAGCATCTGGAGAAAGCCTGGCTCTGAGTGAGTGATAGAGAAGCATTTGTAGGGTGAATGCTTCAGCTGCAGTGGCCCTGCAGAAGGGCAGGAGGAGCTGAGGGTCCATGTCGGGGAGCCCTTGTGGTTGAGGTCCCAGGCAGAAAGACGACCTGTGTGTGTGGGATGGGGCAGAGTGTGAGGCGGGCCGGGGTGGTCAGTAGGAGATCTGGGACAGGGCTGGTCTTGGGTCTGAATCCCTGAGCAGGTGGTATATTGAGGAGTGAGGAAGCAGCCCCCCTCTTTCTGTGTGTGGCAGCAGTAGCCACAGCTGCCAACCAGACAGGGATAACAGGACATTTGAGTTAGAACCTGGGCTCAGATTCCATCTCTCAAACCTACCAGCCGTGTGACCTTCAGCAAGTTACAGCACCTTTCTAGAACTTGGGTTGAGAAAGGAGATAGCAGCAGCTCCTTCGCTGGATGAAAACTCCCAGCCTAGGGTCTTGTATGTACATTATTTCCTACAATATGAAACTGACTTTGTTTGTTTTTTCCCCTACTAAAGAAAGACTAGATCCTGTCCGTGAAGTACTTTTCTGTCCATTTACCCTGAGCCACAAGGATGAACTATTTTCCTACCTACTTGGCTTCTTAGGGGATCACCCTCACTCCATGACTGCTGGTTCAGAACACACGTGGCTTCCTTCCTTGCTTTGTATCTATGCTAGATGGTCAGAGTGGTGAGAGGCTCTCAGCAGCCGAAGGACTTGAGCTGCAGGAGTAAGAGAGTGAGCGGGAGGCTGAAGGCAGTAGGTCACAGCCTCAGACAAGAGGAAACCAGGAGAGTGTCGCTCTGCCGGGCGCAGGGAGCGGAGGAAGGCCTGACCTCGAGAAAGGAAGTCGCAGGAAGCCCAGGGAGGCCTGCGCAGTGGTCAGCGTCCACTGGAAGACGCTGTCTATCCTGCCATTCGCTGTACGAGAAGGAGTGGGAGAGGTTGTCTGATTCATTCCCCAAACCCAAACGAGAGGAGTTCACGTCTTCATTGTGAGTCAGCAGCATCCCGCTGACTCAGGAGATTCATCTCGCCTTTCCTCCTCGGTGAGCCATCCCGAAGGCTGGCCCTCTTCCTGCGTTCACCCTGTGGACAGGTGAAAGGGCTGCCATGCTGTTGAGTCTCACTGCTCCTCTGCTCTTTGCAGCTGACATTTCTAGGGTGAGTTAAGCGAAGAGGCCACGGTGATTAACAGGGACGAAGTGATGCTGCCTTTGGGTGGTTTTGTTCCATGTTCATGAGCAGAGTTATATTTGTGTGCTTTGACTTCCATCCAGTCTGCTTTGGTTGTGGCCTGAGAAAGCAGCCTGTGTTGCTGTTGTAAAGATTTAGAGGTCAACCCCAGGGACTTGGGATGGTGGGTCTGGAAGTGGACCTTGGAATCGCCAAATAGTATAATTAATACCTTGCCATTGCCTGATACTTGACATCTTTTAGAGAGCGTTTTTCCTCATCATCACATTTGAATTATGCCATTTGAATTATGCTCAGCAGATGTCCGTGTAATCCATTTCTCTTTTTTATATATGTTTGTTAAGGGCGTACCAAGTGTACTTTGTCAGTGGCTCAGGGTGTTCAGAGATGAATAAGACTCTGAACCTCTGTAAAAGGTGCTTACTTTGGGGGCAGACATGTGTACTCCAGGTACCAGGGGGTGAGGGCCAGGGAAGAGGAGAAGAGGAAAGGGCTGTGTGTGGAGCTACATGGGAAGTGATTCAATTAACCAGTTCTCCATTGAACACTTGCCAAGGCCATAGTTAGGATATGGCCCCATGAAGGCACTCCCAGTTCACTGAGAGGCAGACAGTGCCCAGGTAACCTGTAACCTGCCACAGCATGTGACGTGTCCAGTGGTGAACATGCCAACGCCATTGCTTCCACGTCCACGTGCTCCCAAATGCGTGGCCTGGGCCTGTATTTGGGAGGTGCAAGGCTCAGGCCACCTGGCCCGGCCTGCTCCGGTGGCAAGTCCTCTGGCTCCCAGCAGCAGCCATCAGTACCATTGGTTTCTAGAGTGATGAGCCTGCTAAAATGAGCCTTGAAGAGAAGTGATCATGGTAGATCACTGCCGTCTTCACCGCCTCCCTGCTAGCTGGGCACAGCTCTGGGAATGCCAACAAAGAAATGCATTTTGCCCAGAATTGATATATTTCTTCACTTAAGAGCAGCCTAAGTTGTATATGAAATAATCAGACAAAAAGAAATGCTGATGCCTCTGAATTCCTTGACATTTTCAATTTCATAGTGATGGGGGCACTCTATTAACTTTTCTGTTTGCTAGGTACAGAAATACCAGCTTTCCAGTAGTTGCATCCTACACACACACATGCACGCATACACACATACATGCAAGCACACACACGCATGCATACAGGCACATACAAGGAAGTTCATACCCATTAAAGAGAAGATGGAAGGGAAGGGCATTGGGGAACTTACTGAGGTGTTGGAAATATTCTGTATCTTGATCTGGGTTTGCATTACATAGGGCATTTGTCAAACTCATTGGATGGTAGACTTATAATTTGTGCATTTCGCTGTTTGTGAATTTTTTCTTGACAAAAATAACTAAGCAAATAATGAACTCGTTAGTGATATACAGGCTGAAGTGTTTAGGGTGAAGTGGACTGCTGTCTGCACCTTACTTTGAAATGCATCGGAAATAAAATGGATTGTTGGATCAATTGAGGGATGGACAGCAAGATGTCAACAATTGTAGAATTGTGGTGGTGGGCGTATGGGTGTTCCATGTATGATCTTTCAACTTTTCTGCATGTTTGAAAATTTTCATAATAAAATGTTGAAACAGAAGAACTACAAATAACCCTTGCTTGTGTTCTCTAGAGCTTTCCATAAACACATTCCCCCAACAGCCAGTTTTCTTGGCTGACACCATACTGTTCCTACAGATGGCCTCACCTGCTTCCTAAGGAAGTTTTGGAAGCGGTTTGAGGGCCCCTGGCTTGGTGTGTCCTCTGTGAACCCACTGTGGTTGGTGTGGGTGGTGTGGGCACATTTCATGAAGGATGTGTTAGCTTGGACTTCCTTTGGAGGTCATGCAGTTTATCCACTTGAAATGATAAGAACTCTGAAAACAGAGCTTTCTACCCCATAGGCAGAAGGCTGGGGATTTGCAGCCTGAGACCAGCCTGGCAGATTGGAACCAGAGTTAGGAAAGGATGCTGAGCCCCTGCTGACCAAGGACTCGAGCTGGTTACCCTGTTGGACGCTTGGGGAGCTCTTTATATACGTTAAAATGTTTGAAAAATCAATTATATATATAAATAAAATTGTTTTCAAAAATTTTAACGTTATACAATATATTTAAACATTCACTTTTTTGAGATCAGACTTTTTTCAGCTATAAAGTAATGCCTGCTCTTGTAAGATTTTTTTTAAATACAGAAAATACCAAGAAGTAAAACTAGCCAAAATTTTACAACCTGAAGAAACCACTTTTTACATTTGGTATATTTCCTTCCTGAATTAGTTTTTATCTTATGCATTATTTACATAATTGTGATGTTTTCATCTGACTATCACAGACAGTTCTTTGGAAGGGAGACTCAAAGGCCTCCTTTATGTGGACCGGCCCAGAGCCTGGGCTGTTGCAGCAGAGATTCTAGGTTGGTCTAGACAGAGAGACTTCCAGTTTATGCTCAGGGAGAGATCCTGGGAGGCCTGTAACTTCTTAAACAGCTCATTTTATGTTGAAGCAACTTCTCACTGAATGCAGTAACATTATAATCATCCTTACTTATGTTCCTGTTTATTGAGCATTTACCAAATGAGGGGCCCTGGCTAGGCACTCTTCATGTGTTCTCTCACAGTAACCCTATAAGGGGGCTGCCATTACCCTCATTTTATAGGTAAGAAGCCAGACATCAGAGAGTTTAAGTAATCTGCCCTAGTCACATAGCTTGTACATTATGGAGTTATAGTTCAAGACCAGGTCTTCTGACGGGCACTCTGTGGCTGAGGCGGATGAACTCGTCAGAACATTTTGGTTCACAGGCAGCCTTTACTGCTGCTCCTGGGAACATGCAGGGCAGGTGGAACTCACCTCTTTTTCCCAATTAAGGAACTGATGTGCAGAGAACTTACCAGGTTAACTGAAATCATGTGGGCAGCGAGTGGGTGGGAGGCTCAAGGTTAGAACCTGGCCCTTTAACTTCTGGTTCATCGTGTTGCCTTCAGAGCCAGAGGGCCAGGGAGGGGAGGGAGTTGTGGTGGAGAAGGTCCAGAGGAAGGCCTGGAGGACTTGAAGGGACAGGAGGGTGGGCGTAGGGTGCCAGGCAGGGGATCCCAGGAGCAAAGGCTGGGAGCTGAGACCCAGAGGGGTTGTTTGGAGGTGAGGGGCTTGGAGAAGGGGGCAAGGAAGAGCACTGACTGCAGTCTGACAGACCTGGGGCTGGGGGCCTGATACTTTTTGTAAAAAGTGAAGATAGTAAATCCTAGTTGGTGGTTCCTACTGAGAATTAAAGGAAATAGTTTAGCTGAAATTGCCTGATCTGCGTGCTTGGGATATTGTGATCACGGTGCAGCTTTGTGGACATTGTCTTATAGACAGTGGAGCCTTTGAAAGCTTTGGGCAGGGAAGTAGGTTGACAAAGAGGAGATATCTAACACTAGCATGCCAGTGTGGAGGGCAGGGTGGGGCGGGAGAGTGGGGGCCTGAAGTCGAGCCTGGAGGTTGTTTCCTGCAGTTGAAAGGGCTGGTTATGGAGAGGGATGAGTATCTCCCTTTGTTCATTGGGTTTTTTATGACTCAGTTTCCACTGTTCCCTCCTGACTCACTGCTGTGTTTTTCCCTTGCAGGAGCCTGTGTGAAATGCAGCAAAGGGGTGTTTGGGGCCGGCCAGGCCTGCCAGGCCATGGGGAACCTCTACCATGATGCGTGCTTCACCTGTGCGGCCTGCAGTAAGTGTGTGTGTGTGTGTTGGGGGGCGGGGTAAGGATCACGGGGACCGAGAAAGGGACGAGAGGGAAGAGCATCCTTCCTGGAAACTCTTGGCCCTCCGCCCTCCGTGGTCCCACAGAAAGGCAGGCCGGTGTCCTTTAGAGCACCGATACAAGGCCATCAGGGTAAGGGGACTTATCACAGCACCAGAGATTGCCTGGGGCAGACTTCAGGGATAAGTTGAGTGGCTTCAAAGTGGCCCAATCAGGTTTATCAGAGGTCTCAGAAGAGCTGGAGGGGAGGCGCTGGGACTGCCCTATTGTTAGTTATCTCCCCACTGTGGGGACCAGCCAACCTTTTAAAAGGTAATTAATCAGTCAGTTACCCCATTGTGAAGCTGGGCCCCTTTATAACACTTTGACCCCAATCTTTGATTTGGAGGCTGCTCTATGAGTGTGAAGTGTGAGTGTGTGCATGAATGCCAGTGTGTATGCACACTGCACATGTGTCATTGCCTATCAGCACACACACAGCTGTGGGCATCTTTCTACTTTGGTAGGCGCATTATGACTAGAGCAGCAAATTAGGAGACCAGGCCTGTGCTCAGCTCAGCAAGCTGCTCATTGAATTGATGGCAGCCACAGTGGAAGATTCTAACACATTGTGGGATGTTTGCCAAGTCTGACCAAGTCGTGAATTGTACTTGTTTTATGGTCTCTACCAAAGATTAATTTTGAAGAGCATTTTTGGAAAATGTCTCGCTGATGTTCTCCAATTCTATACTGAGGCTAGCAGCTGTCAATTAAAAGGAAACATTACAACAAAGCCACAGTGTCAGGGACGAAGGGGTCTTATCTGGCTGGGTGGTTCTCAGTCCAAGCTGCTCATTAGAATCACTTGGGGAGATTTTAAAAGCTGGTGATGCCCCAGCCCCACCCTGACCAGCAGAATCAGAAGCTCTAGGAGTGGAATTTCTAGAGTGGGGCAAGTGTACTGTTTAAAGCGGCTCAGGAGACTCCTGGGTGTGGTCAGGGCTGAGCACCCTGGCCTGGTGCCAGGCTGCATTTTCGAAGCTCCCAGAGAAGGGAGGAGATGGGACTTGCTCTCAGCTGGCTTGTGGTACAGCCCAAGATCCTTCTGATTCCCAGTCTAAAGTTGACCAGGTGGGCATGGACCCGCCCCCTACCTTGCCAGGCCTCGATGGCCCTGAGATTTCCTGTCAAACACCTGCCTGCGAGTTTACAGTTTCTCTGTTGATCGGTACTCACCTTTGTAGGGACAACCTGTGAAAGACTTTGAAACGGACCAAAATGTCTGCTGAATGTCCTCAGTGAAAGTGTAGGCCTTGTCTGGTTATCGATTCTCTGGGTCCCTGGGCCTTTCCTTGTCTTTGAGCCGTGTGGCATTCTGTCACTTGTAGAATCCCCAGGGAAGGCACATGATTCTTGTCCTTCGCATGCTGACTGCGTCTGCGGGAGATGCAGTTGACTGCGGCCCTGTGAAGATCGACCACTCTTGGTTTTGCATCTATTAAACAGGTTTATTTCAGCATTTCTGATGGCCTATCTATGTATGGTTCTTTGCAGTCCCCCAGTTGTAACATCTTATTGGTCCTCATTAATTGATGAGTTAAATAAAATCTTGATTGTGTTTTATCTGTACAAGAATTGTGATCATACTTTCTCTTAAAAATTATCTTTGACTCTTGGCTCCAGCAACTGTTTCTCAATATTTGCCTTATTTTCCAGGAAAAAAGAAAATATTAAGTAGAAGCTGTTTTTCATCTCAAGCAATTACCATTTGAACTAAGTTATTGGGGGGAGAAAACCTGTTGATGAGTCTGTTGGCTCCCCCTGTGGCTGCATGACTAGCTCTTAGTTCCTTAATGGGTTCAGTTTGTCTTGCTTCGAATTATGACAAGCACAACCACTTCAGGAAGACAGAGCTGGTTTGGGTTTTTGCTTGGCCTGAGATGTAAGGCCCTTGTGGTCTGGTCTCTGTCTTATTGCTTCCTACTAACTTATCACAGTCAAACTGAATTTCTCTTTTCCACTTCCGTGTCTCTGATCACACTGCTCCCTAGAATCTCAAATCTCCTCTCCCCACTCACTCCCTACATTTAAATTCTGTCCAGCCTTTAGGACCCAGCTCAAATGCAGCCTCTTCCCGGAAGCCTTCCCTGTTGCCCTAGCAGGAAGGAACGTTTTCTCCTGAGTTTGGTATGCCCTGCGTTCTTGTTGGTGCTCTCATGGAGACTGTGAGCCACACTGTCTCTGACTCCAGTGCCAGCAAACCAGGCCCTAGACAGAGTTGCTGAGGGAATGAAGACAGGGACTCTGTGAGTGCAGCAGCATTCCTGTCTGCTGCGGGGCTCGCATACATTCCTGTTGTGTGTAAGCATAGGGCTTCCTCCCTGTTCTCAGGGAGCAGTTGGAGACCCAGGTGTGTCTGAGCAGCTTCTGTTGGACACTAGAAGTAAGTTGCCTTTGTTCAGTTAACTTATTGCTGCCCTGTAACTGCTTTCAGTGGAAGGAGGCGCCCGGGTGCTCCGTGTCTTGGCTCTGCAGGTCCTCAAGTGTGTCTCTGTGAGCCTTGGTGCCAGGGAGACGACACAGCTGGGGCTGGGCTCGTCCAGTCCATCCCCTCCTTCGTGAGTGGAAGAGAAAATGGGGGCCCAGATCGGGGAAGGGAATTTCTCGAGATTGGAAACCTAGCAGTGGAGCTGGTGCAGGAATCCCAGGCTCTTAATCTGGGTTAGCTTTGCATGTTCCTGTTTTTCTGGTTGGTTGAAGTGTGTGTTTGTGAGTGTGTGTTTTCTGTTTTCCTATTTCATTTATGAAGGTAATCTAGCTTAAAACACCAAAGATAGAGATATACTTCTGTAGGTACACACACATATGCATATGCATATGCATGCACTCACTTCTTGGATTTTATTGATGCTTTATTAAAACATAATGTTGAGGGGCCGGCCCAGTGGCGCAGTGGTTAAGCGCGCGCATTCTGCTACGGCGGCCCAGGGTTCGCGGGTTTGGCTCCCGGTTGCGCACTGACGCACTGCTTGTCAAACCACGCTGTGGCGGCGTCCCACAGTAGACGCCGTCCCAAAGTAGAGCAAGATGGGCACGGATGTTAGCCCAGGGCCAATCTTCCTCAGCAAAAAGAGGAGGATTGGCATCAGATGTTAGCTCAGGGCTGATCTTCCTCACACACACAAAAAAATAATAATGTTGGGATCTTGTCAAGCTCACACACACAAGGCAAGGCCAAGCCCTGACTGATTTGACCGGTAAAGATACAGCGAGCCACTGTTAGGTTCAGACAGTTTATTATTCTCGTGGACAGCGAAAAGGAGGACATGCCAAAGGTGCCAGCTTCTTGGGTCCTTGTCCCACACAACAGAAAGGACGACCTTGAAACAAAGGACCAGATGACTGTGATGCAAGTTGTGGGATGCTGAGCCGCCAGTCCTAGATGCAGCTCTATTCTCGGGGGTGGGGCAGAGAGCCTACACTGCATCAGAGATGAGAGATTGCCTCATTTTGTGACAGGCCCCTAGGGGAACTAGGGAGGCGAGTGGGAGATGCTCTTAGAGCCTCTCATCCTCCTGTGTTCCTGGGAGGATCACAAGGTGTTCCTCCCGCTCAGACAAACTTTGGCCCCTGTGGATGGTGCAAGTTCTCAGGGCACGCTGGCGGGTTCCCCTACACAGACACATGGGTTTCCCCACCCGCTGACAAGAAGCGACAACGTTTAGTTCATTTTTAGTTGTGAGAACAACATGACAACCACAAAGAATTTTAAAGGCAGTAGCCTGTTAACGTTTACTCTAGCACAGGTATTTTACTAGTATGGTTTCCTTTCTAGGTTTTGTCCAAATTTATACACATTTTTTCGAGTTGTGATCATAGCTATAGATAGTGTTGTATCCTTTTTGATTTAACATGTCAGAAGTTCATCTACCTCCTGCAGTCTTCATAATAATCATTTTAACAGTTAATACTAATCGTCTGAGTTGTACCACAGTTTTATGGCATTTAGCTGGTGTCGGGTTTGCTGGTTGTTACATAGAGCCCCAGCGAATGTCTTGGTGCACACGTTTTTTTTTTCCCTCTGCTGAATTGTTTCCTTGGTGTTCATTCCCAGAAGTAAGCATTCAGCATGTGATGTGTGGGCGTTTATGTGGCTTGTTAAAGTTCCCTCCTTTCAGGCAGCGAGTGTGTTTGGTTGCCATGGCTATGTGTGCTGTGGATCTCCCTTCTCCCCACTCTGCCCACCTGAGGTGGCCGTGTCCCCAGCTGGATGCTCTCAGGAAGCCGTTGGCACACCGTGGAGTGGGAGGGAGGGTTGGTGGAGAGGGCAGGTGTGACCTTGGCTGCCGGCCACAAACGCTGTGTCTCTGGCCACCGTGTGTCAAGTGGCCTGTCTGAGGAGAAGCTGGCGCCCATCTGTGGCTTGAGAGAGGCGGAATGAGAAGGAAGAAAAAGTGTGCTGGGCTTGTGGGGTCAAGTGGAGCTCTCCTTGGCACCTTCCAGAGTAGACTGTAAGGGAGAAAGAAGGCAAGGCTCTGTGTCCTCACTCCGGGCCCTTTCAGGGCCAAAAAGTAAGATTTTGTTCATTTTGTAAAGACTAAACAAATTCCCTCCTGGAGTCAGGTGAGACCTGTTTGCCACCTTCTTGGCTTCTGTTAATTTTCAGCCACGTGAGTTGAGAAATGATGGACTAGATGAGAGATTCCCCGTGCTCTCCTCCCCGGAAGCCCATAGGCCCTGAGGGTACCCAGGTCCTGGGGGTGGGGATTGGGAGGCAGCCAGGCTGAGGTCAGTGGGAATTGTGCCCAGTGCTGGTCTAAGCTCAGAGGAAGGCCTCCGAGGGCCAGACGGGGTCCACTCAGGGGACAGAGCTGGGATGAGCAAGTCAAAGCCAGAACAGGTGACTTGGGCGTTGTAACCTAGTGCTTGTGTTCCTGGGTGGGGGAGGCACTGTGGTCTGTCAGCCGAACCTTAGGGAAAAAACAACA